AAAAAAAAAAAAAAAAAGGCATTTGAATTTAAAATATTATTGTGACTAGTAAATAATATTATTGAATCTAGCTCAATAAATTAGGTATAGGATTGCATTGTACAAAGGTGACAAATATAAGTATGTATATTAATCGAATACAGTCTAATTACATTTTGGGACCGTTTTATGCATCTCCGCACGCTTTATATATACAGAAGATCAGTCAATTCAATAAAAATGTCATCATCCGATCCACAAAACAAGCTGTTGACATAATTTCACCATAATTTCCTCTATAAAACCCCCATCACGTATTCAATCATTCATCCTAAGCTACGTGATAACCTGAAAATGATGAAAATTCCGGCGAGGTTCGACCGAGCTGCGGCGGCTTACAACTCGTTTTCCGGGCAGACGGACACCGTGAATCTGTCCGCTCTCGTGAATTCGTTTCTCGAGCGAGAAACGACGAACGACGACGACTGGATCGATTTTTTCGCCGATGAAGCCGACAATCGCGCGCCGGAGAGCGACTCCGATTCCCGATATCTATTGGAGAATTTGTTCGGCGCAAAAAACGATGTCGTCCGGTGGAAAATCCACACTGAGGTGGAGAAGTCGCTTGCAGAGATCGGCTGCGAAATTGAAAACGAACGCTCGGGTTTTAACCGCCGGCTTGTGGCCATTCTACGCGGCAAAGGCTTCGACGCCGGTTAGTTAGTTAATGAAACCCTAACTTTTTGGCGGCAAATAGTTAGTTTCGATTAACGTTAACCTAACTAATTCTTCATTCCAAAAAATTGTAGGTGTGTGCAAATCCAAGTGTGAAAAGGGCGGCCACCGGAGTTACCATGACCATGAGTTCGTCGACGTCTATGCATCTGGTAGCCGGTATGTGGTCGAGGTGTTTCTTGCCGGAGAATTTACAATTGCGCGGCCAACCGAGGGCTACGCCACCTTGCTGGCGATGTTTCCCCGAATTTTTGTCGGGAGACCTGACGAGCTCAAACAGGTGGTGAGAACCATGTGCGCGGCCATCGGGAAATCGATGAAGACAGTTGGCATTGCTGTGCCTCCGTGGCGCCGCTTCGCATACGTGCAGTCGAAGTGGTTCGGGCAGCACGAAAGAACCACTGAAGGCTCAAATGCCAGTGGTGATTCATCGCCCGACTTTTTTGCACGACAAGTGAAGGGGATATTGTTCTATTGCAGGGAAGACTTCTCGTCTGCCACCGACAGTTGAACAGGTAACCTGGCGGCGATTCTAACAAGGACATTGTGTTGTAGGTAGAAGAAAATGAATCCACATGACTTATGGGGATCTTAAAACGATTTAAGTTTAAATTTGAACCTATGGTAGGAATGTAAGATGCAATTTAGTAGGATTTCGGGGTTATTTTGTATTTTAGGGAAGACTGGTTTTTGGATAGTTTTTTTAGGACTAAATGACATGTAGGTGAAAGTTTAGGGGTGAGCAAAATCGCGTCGGATTGTACAATCCTTGTTGTTCAATTTGATTTTTTTAATGTAAAAAATTTTCACTTCGGTTTTTCCCTAGCGGTGTAGTTCGAATTATTATTGTTCATAAGTTTGATCTTAGTCGGTTCAGTTTGGTTTTGCACCGAACTACACCAAATTAAATGTAAAGAAAAACCAAAGCAATTGCCAAAAAACCGAGCTAAACCATACATTTCAGTGCAGTTCCGTTATTTTAGTGTAGAAAATTTCGATTCTATTTCGGCTCGATTTTTTCCCTAGTTTCGGTGTGTTTTGGCTTCTATACCAAAGCAGAGCCAGAAACCGAGTGGAACAATGTATTTTGGTCACCTCGTCTATCGGTGACCAAAACGACGACGTCGTGTGAACAGACCCATCGATAGTTCCCTCGTGAATCGACCAGAAACTGGAGCCTCCGCCGGAAACAAACAGCCCAATTTTTCCGATTGAGCTTTTGCTTTAGTTTTGTGGCTATCTTCTTCTTTAAGACGATAGATAATGTTGCTAGTGTTGGACTTGTTGGTGCACTGTTATGATGGGCCGAGTTGAGGTTTTATCGGCCCACCAAGAGGCAGTTTTTAGTGGGCCAACTTATTTTTGATATGTGTAATTTTATTTAAAAAATTATTTTAATATAAATTTAGTTCTGTTCTGTTCTGTTTTTTAGTTTCTACTCATGTTTTCTTTTGTGCTCGACAAACAAATATTTAGTAGCTGTCAAAGCAAACATTAAAATCATTTCACACCACAAAAGCTCTAAATACAGTATATGTACATACTTGACAAACAACAAAAACTACCAACTTTTTTTTTATTTTAAATTATACAAATATATCGGTTTATTATCATTCTTTCTTCTTCATGGAGTCATTTCAAGCATGTACAGGTATGGACGATGAACTCATCGACACGCAGCCTTTTAATCGATCAAGAATGGCATTTCGGGCATTTAGTCCCGAGTATAGAGTTAAAGGTAACCCTTCCTTCACACACTCGTCGTATTTTTCCAAGGCACAGACTATCTCGTTGAAATCTGGGCGCTTAGAGGGATTTGATGCCCAACAGCTCTTTATAAGGTGGGCCAGTGCCGGTTGACAGCTTGCCGGTAAAGGCGGCCGCTCGTTCTGAAAAAAAAAGGAGAAAAAGAAGGAGACTTTAATATTTGAAAATGTTGGTCGAGCGAAGTTCGGTATATCTAATATAGTGATTCTTGATATTGAAGATTTGTTCACTACTGTGTTTATACTTGAAGTTTAAGCTCAAAATCAGCCCATGATCAGTGTTGAAAAAAGAATAATAAAGCAGTGTACTTATTACTTAGGTTGTGTTTGGTAAGCATATAAGCTAGCTTATCAATTAATTTTACCAAACACTTTTATCATATGAGCTAGTTTTTCAGTCATAAGCTATTAGCTATAAACTCGAAATTTACTTAAAAGCTATAGCTAATTTATCAGTTATAAATAGCCTTAAAGCATCCATTCTTATTTTCCGAAAAAAAAAAATGTGTGATTGAATTTCGGCAACTAACCTTTTCAGAAACTGCGAAAGCTGCCTGAACGGGAGTCATTCCTTGGAAAGGAAGCAAAGCTGTAGTGAGTTCCCACAGAACAATCCCGAAGCTATACACATCGACTTTTCGAGTGTAGGGCTTCTCCTTGATCATCTCAGGTGCCATCCAACGGTAAGTTCCCATATTGCCCTTTGCCTCTCTGCACTGTGTCTCTAGACATGACGTCCCAAAATCCGCTACTTTGACTCGCATTTCGTCGTTCAGGAGCAAGTTATTGGATTTAAGGTCCCGGTGAATTACGCCCTGCGAGTGGAGATACTCCATTCCGCGAGATATATCAAGAGCCAGCCTGAGGATAGTCTCGATCGAGAGGGAATACGGCTCTTTCTTGTTAAGGTACATTCTTAGTGTCCCTTGGGACATGTACTCGGTTATGATGCAGTATACGGGTGGCTTCTTACACGCAGCAATGAACTGCGAAAGAAAGAATTATTGTTATTTTTTTTTTTTTTTTTTTTGTAAGAATTACCTAGGAAAAAAACAATAAAACGATTTTACGGTGTTTTTAGATCCTGAGTTCTGGTTCTGATTCTGTGATACGATCTGATTTGGCTTTTGCAGCTTATATTTCAAAACACTTCATTTTTAACTAATTAGCTTGGCTTTTTAGCAACAATAAACAACTGCATCAGTTCTGTTTTCCTCTGCTATATACTCTTTAAATGGAGCAAATGTAATTCTACGGTAGATAAGATCTAAGATAACCTAACCTTAAACAATCACAAAACATGAACGTGAAAGAAATAATTTGACTTTTTTTTTTTTGTTGTAAGAATCGCTAGGAAAAAAAACTGCGGTTATCGTTGGTTGATTGGCTGAAAAGATAGAGAGAAGTGTTTTTAGATGCTAGAGTTCTGCTTCTATTTTTGGTTTTTTTTTCTAATTCGACATTTTAGTTTTATGGCAACGAACGAAGAATCGAAAAAAAAATTTGAACCTGCACGATACTTGGATGGTACAAACGGGAAAGCAAGGCGACCTCACTCTTGAACTGGCGCTCGAGGAGGACACGTGTCTCATCCTTATTGGTCGGGATCCTCACCATCTTGACTGCAACGGCCCTCTGCTTGTAGATTCCCCGGTAGATTCGGCTGTGGGCCCCAGAAGCAAATTTGTTGCCGATGAAGAGCTGTGAAAGATCGGCTGTCCATTCTTCTCGGTCCTCCTCGTTCGAGGCCTCCCAAGTCTCCATATTATCGGACTCCAAAATCATTGACCAAGACTCGAGACTGTCGAACCTTTTCCTTTCCATGTTATCCGTGATGAGGTTCGGTCGGGTCCTCGACGTGGGGCCCACCGGCGGTGGTTTAGGCTTCGGTTTACGGAGGCGGAACGGGTTGAAGCACGACGTGACCATTTTTTTTAATGTTCGATTTTCTTTTTTTCTCAAAAAAAAAAAACGAATCTCTTTGGAAGTTAGACCACACGATCACGACGCGCTTTCCTTTTGAAAGTGTGCATCGACTTCGTGAACTGCATGAATTGGTGGGAAGTGAAATAGCGGCACGAAGTCGGAGCTTTTGGAGCTATCCATTTAGGGCTCTTTTACAAGTACGAATCGGACTCCATAACTGTAAACGGAAAGCTTGCATCGTGAGAGGTTTTGCAGAGGGAGAAATTGTTAGAAAATCAGTTCAGTTCATAGGTTTCTCGTGTAATTCAGACACTCGATTTGTAACAGAAATTAGGATGGCTATTAGAAGCTATTGATTTGAAAATGTAGGTTTTGGAGAGAGAGAGAGAGAGAGAGAGAGAGAGAGAGAGAGAGAGAGAGAGATTTGATGAGTTTGGGTTGACATATATGATAAAATTTATGAGGAGAAACGTGTTGTTGAAAGTGATTCATTTGGCAAGAAGTAAGATGAATTCAAAGAAGAAATTTCAGGGGTGTCTCGTGAATTCTTGTTTCCTAAAGTGTAGTGCATTTTTTTTATTTTTATTTTTTATTTTCATAAGAAGGAATCAAATGTCCCTCTAGTTTTCTTAGGCATCATTCAATGATATGCTAATTTTAGTGGCTTCAATAAAAGTTGATCACTTTATGCTCTAACCACCACATTTAATTTTAGCAGATTTAAACAATTAATTAAAATTGCTAAAATGAAATATATATGAAGTATGTTATATGTATAGTACGGTGTAATGTTAGTTGCTAGACAAATAGTTGTAATTTTTCAAGTGCACGTTTTCAAAATTAAAATCATATTTTTTTTTTAAAAAAAACAATAGCAATATATGAAATTATGCCATTCATAACTTAAATATGTCTTTTTGTTAATAAATGCATGATGGATCGACTTGCCTAGCCGTTAGATCGTCTCACACAATAATTTGTTATATAATATTATGTTTAAAATGATTTATTTTTTTTTTCACGGTAGGTCTTTTGCCAGCATGTCTAATAAATACAAAAATATGATACTCAATACTATGAGTATATTGTTATAAGAATGTATAATTCTCCAGCCTAATAACATTTGTGAATTTACATCCAAAAAAATTGACAGACAAAAGTTTAGACGAGTCAATATATTATTTTTTTTGTCAAAGTAAAAAATGTTGTAGATAAGATGGGTGAGCTTAATCTCCTAATACTCGAGCTCGAATTGGAGTCAATATTGAGTTGAGTCGAGCTTGACTCTTTACCTAATTAAGGCTATAAACTAGATCGAGCTCGTTAATCAAATGAAGTGTTTACTAATTGTTAAAATCTTCTATTTTTCATGAAAGGGGCCAAGCGAACTATGGAAACTATGCCTGGTCTCACAGTTAAAGTTGTACAATGACTCTAATGGAACTTGTGGGTTTCCTGCATTTTTCCTCTCTCAACTCATACAACAAACACTTTATCTCATGCAAGATATATATCTTTATGGAATCATTTATTCCGTTAAAATTGGAATAATAAATTAATAAAGTTGAAATTTTTAATATCGAGGGTTTAGCGCAGTGGCGCATACCTCGCTTGGCGTATCCCATATCCCGAGTTCGAGTCACTGGGAGGAGAATTGGAGAACCAGTATTAACCCTCTTTTAAAAAAAAAAGGAAAAAAAAAACTTTATTGTATAATTACCTTTGTTTTTGTTATATTCGTATGAGTAAATTCTTACGTTAGAGGAAAAGAATATGAAAGTGCACTTTGCACTCCACATTTTCTGGACACAATTTTTCTAGTGATTGGAAATTGGAATCCACCATGAAAATTGGGATTTATATTTGAGAATATAGTTTATAAGTTTAATAGAAAAAATAATATTTTCTCTGTTAGAATATCACTTGTGAGTTGTCCCACATCGTTCATACATGGAAAATAAACCCACCTTATAAATCTAATGGGCTACTCCTCCTTCCACCAATTGATTTTGAGATGGAACCTCATTTGGGCTTCATATGGGCTTTTCCCTCTCATGGTGGGACCGCACCCGTTTATGGGAGTCTGCTTCCTCACGTACCCGTTTATGGGAGTCTACTTCTAAGTAGGCTTGAAAAATAGACCCACCTTATAAGTCTAATGGGCTACTCCTCCTTCCACCAATTGGCTTCATGTTATGCTTGGGCTACTCCTCCTTCCACCAATGTAGGCTTGGAAAATAGACCCACCTTATAAGTCTAATGGGCTACTCCTCCTTCCACCTTGGGCTACTCCTCCTTCCACACCAATGTAGGCTTGGAAAATAGACCCACCTTATAAGTCTAATGGGCTACTCCTCCTTCCACCAATTGGCTTCATGTTATGCTTCCTCACGTACCCGTTTATGGGAGTCTACTTCTAAGTAGGCTTGGAAAATAGACTCACCTTATAAGTCTAATGGGTTACTCCTCCTTCCACCGTTTATGGGAGTCTACTTCTAAGTAGGCTTGGAAAATAGACTCACCTTATAAGTCTAATGGGTTACTCCTCCTTCCACCAATTGACTTCATGTTAGTGGGACCACACCGTTTTCCCCCAGTTTCTTACATTCTCAATTCAGTCTTAGGAAAAATTGCATTTTGTGCCCTGTAACTATGCAAGTGTGGCAGATGTGACGGTTTCTTTTTTGTTTGGCAAACGTGCCCCAAAACTTGTTAAACCCAGAATTCGTGCCCAAATTACCTACAAGTTACCAAATTTGACTAGTTTTTCGTGTGACAAAACAGGACAGTAACTTGTTAAAATTCAAAATTCGTACCCAAGTTGGGCACGAATTTTGAATTTTAACAAGTTTCAGGGCACTTCTATCAAACAAAAAAGAAGTTATTCACATATGTCACACCGCTAGTTACATGGCATAAAATGCAATTTTGCCAATTAATTTAATTAACTTGCACTATTTTTATTATTTTTAAATATTTGTCAGTGGACGATTTTGTCGACCTCATCGTATCAAACTTTTGATATCAAAATTATTAAAAAAAAATCACGGCATTCTTGTGAAGAGCTGATAAAGCAATAATTCATACATAATTTACCTTTTTGTTATCTCATTCAAGTTATTTATGAAGTATTACATTATTAATTTCCATTCCAGTTGTGTACAAAATATTTCTAAATCTTTGGTTAATTTTCAATTTATGTATTATTTTGAAAATAGTTTATTAAATATTGCAGATGTATTATTAAGTTTCATTTCATTTATTATTCTCCTATTTATAATGATTAGTTTTCCATCTTTATGATGAAAAAAAAAAGTTTTCGAGCCTTAACGAACCGGCAAATTATATACAAAGTACAAACTATAGTTAATGACTGAGTTAACAAAAGAATTCAAGAATCCACTTATTATGATGCAATTCGTTTACTGTCATATGTATATGTTGACTTATTAGCAGAGCAATAAAAGTGTACAATATATTTGATATCCTTTAGCAGGCACAAAACAAGCAGAAATACAAATCATATAACTCTAGTAAAACTGGCTCCAGAGCATATAGCTCAACTGAGTATACCACATCATAATTAACTCTTGTAAAATCCCATTACAAGATATACTTTAGAAAAAAATTGACAAAATACTGAAAGCAAAAAAATTACCGAAAAATCCCGAAGAAAGTTTAGAGTCTGGAGGGGGTTCCACCAGCAACCACCAAAGTCTCTCCAGTAATATACGAAGCATCGTCCGAAGCAAGAAAAGCAGCTGCTGCAGCCATGTCCCCTGTTGTCCCGAGCCGGTTCAGTAGTGTCTTCTCCTCCAGGCTTTTCCTCTATGAACATATAGCACAAAAGTTATATAACAATCAACTTTCCTGAACTTTTACCTAAATCAAAGAATCGTATGCATAAATAAAAACTTTTACTTTTAGTTACACACCTAAAAAATTATAGAAATTATTGCTCATTGAGCTACGTTATTTTACTCTTCAAGAGACGCAATTTGTAAATAGACGAGTATTATTGCAATTTCAAAACTCAAAATGGAGTCTCATATATTCTGAATACAAGGACACAACAATCAGATGACATGAAACAACATTTGAAGCTCACCATTAGGCCTCTGCTCAGCTCTTTAAATAAACGACCCAGAAATCGAGCTCGAGCCAAGCTCGTTTATTACTAATCACGAGTCGAGTTCGAGTCTTAACAAGTCGATTTCTAACTTTAATGAGTCAAACTAAAAAAAAATTATAAATAAATTCTTTTTTCGAGCCTTATAGAGTGGACCTGAGCTCGGTTCGTTAACCAAACGAGCTTCAAATGAGCTCGAGTTCGGCTCCTTTTCGAGCCGAGCCGAACTAGTTTAATTTAACAGCACTACTCACCATACTCTCATTTTTTGTGAGAAAAGATGCAAAGTGGGTCGGCACAAAACCAGGAGCAACACAGTTCACGCGAGTGTCCGGGGCCATCTCAGCTGCTAGTGCCTATAAACAAAAAATAAATACACATGTTTCAAATTTCGAGTACATGAATCGAAACAAATGGTACAACTGCACGAAATAAAACTTGCCTTTGTGAGGCCAAGAAGGGCTGTTTTGGTGACCCCATACATAGCCAGCCCTTGGGGCGGCTGGTAAGCAGCTATAGACGAAACAAACACGACCGACGAGCCTTTGTGCAAATGGGGGGCCGCTTCCTACCGTGTTTGTATTACATTTTTTTAAACCATCAAAATAAAGCTACTAAGTAATCATTCGAATTCTAAATGCATTTTTTGCAGAACTTTTGTTTTCGTTTTCTTGAGGCAACATACTTGTAGTAGAAGAATAGAGGTTTTCACGTTGATCTCCCATAGTTTGTCGAGAACTGATTCTTCAGTTTCGAGAATGCCACTCACAGCAGGGTTGGCAGCAGCATTGCATACGATTACATCAACTTTACCGTATTTCTGTATTTCAAAATTCAAATTGTAAAACATTCGTTTACCGCTAAATAAAACATGAAAAACCGAGACCCACAACTTGAAAGCACCCCCAAAAAACGTCTCTATACTTTTCACCACAAATATTCATTTCAATCCATAGCAAAACAGTAAGAAGGTATGAAAAAGAATGCAAAGCAATCTAGATATCCCCTTTTGATTGTTCAAGGGGCGGCACCAGATGTGGAACGTCAAGTAAACACCATGTAATTGGAAGCAAATGCTAAACAAGTGAAAAACAAGTTGAGCATTCATTGAATAGAAACTCTTGAAAATTTGAGCTAAATCAAACAGTAATGCTTAATTCATACTCCCTCCGTTTCAAATTATTAGTCGTTTTAACTTTTTTGATTCATCAATTTTGTTATGTATTTAGACATATTATTATTTAGATACATAGCAAAATGGATGTAGCGAAAAAGTCAAAACGACTTATAATTTGAAACGGAGGGAGTATATATTTGTACCGCGACTGTTTTCGCGATCATATCCTTCCTTTGCTGGGCATTCGAAACGTGACACACTAATCCCAGAGCTTCAATTCCTTTGCTCCTGAGCTTTTCCACTGCTTCATCAACATTATTCTACAAAATCCCTTTCAGAATTTATAAGCAAAAACGCAAACAAACCTATATTTTTACTATTTTTTCTTCCAGAAAATGGTAGCACAACCAGTAAAATCAGGAAAATCCGAGAAAAATAAAATAAACAGATCTGGATCGAGATTCAGCTGAAGAAGATGAGGAATTGGAGCTTACTTGCCGGCGCGAGGAGATAACGACGGCGGCGCCTTCCAAGCCGAGGCGCTCGGCTATGCCGAAGCCGATTCCCTGCGTCGAAGCAGTGACTATGGCGACTTTGCCTGTGAATCTCTTCCCCATTTTCTCCATTTTTTATATATTTATTTATTTGATTTCTTATAATTGATGGCTATGGCGATTTGTATGCTCAAGAAAATATGTGCAGAGCAGTCTACACCATTATCTATCGAATTATTTTTGCTCGATATACACGAGGACTGAGCCTACAACATTTACAACAGTGGCATAATTTAGTAGCTGACTATTTTACCGATGTTCGTGACGGGAAACTCACTCATGTAAGGACCGGTTTACTGCACCGCCCGTTGTGACTTGTGAGCACTCAAATCAATGGTAGGCGTGAGTTCGGTCAAATTCGAGCTTGAGTCGACCTTAAGCAGTTCAATCGAGCAAACAAATCCAACCTCAAGAACAATTTTAAGGGGCTCGTAAGTTCGACAAGTCACTCGACTTTTTATTTACGTAAACACCTTATATAGTTTAATTATCAATATTACAACATGAAAATTAAAATTGTCTATTTCGCTTAAAAATAACACCATTATTTAAATTTTTTGTTGTAGAATTTTCATGTCGAATTCGAGCCATGTCTGGTCGAGCTCGAGCTTTTTCTTTTCACGAGTCAAGGCGAGCACCATTTTACATGGCCCGTCAAATTTGAGTTCGAACTGAAAATAATTTGATATGCACTTAAAAAGGTCCATACTCAGATCTAGGGCTGCAAACGAGCCGAGTCGAACATTGACCTTATCGAGCATGATTGATTTTTTTTTTTTTTTTTGATGCTCGAGCTCGATAAAAAAATACAAGAGCTCGAGGTCGGCTCAAATTTTTTCAAGCAAATTTGTAAAATAACCATTAAATACATATATATACAAGGGTATTTTAGTAATTTCATATATCTCGAGCCGCTCGCGAGCCGCTCGACAATATAAAATATCGGCTCCAGCTCGACTCGAGTTCGTGCTCTAGCCGAGCTTTGACTCGAGCGTTCGCGAGCTGCTCGACTCGTTTGTATCCCCAGTCAGATCGACGCGGCTCGACGCGTATGCAACAAAACATATAAACCATTTGAGTACTTTAGAAAAACATCGATATGGTTTTGAACTTTTGGTTAAATCGCTGAAAATAAAATAATTAGGGCATGATTGTTTATAAAATATTTCATCCAAAATATTACATTTTGGTTAACTATGGTTAAAATTGAAAAAGTAGTGTGGTTAATTATTAGTGAGATTTATAAAATATATTAAAATAATATTTAAAATAAAATGATTAAAATTGATTTGATATAAAGTAGGAGATAAATGATTGGAAATGATTGATAGTTAAAATTATGTAAGTGGATGAATAGTGAAATAAAGTTGATGTAATGTGTAAGAATGATTGATTTGTATTGTTTAATTACAATGTTGCTATATAACCAACTGAATGATTTTGCTCCATGTGGGGCTGGCTCACATGGGTTCCATGTGGGACAGCCCCACATGAAGCTATCTAATTGGGTGTTGGTTCCATAAGGGAACCAACTAGTTGGTTTTATAGCAATATTGTGTTTAATTATATGCATAATATTAAAGATAGTGAAGTTAAATTAAAATTGAGTTAAATTTTGAGTTGAATTTTTTTTAGGTGAAATATTTTGGCGTAAGTACATGTTAACGATACTAATTTGTGTGCTTCACATAAAGACGAATCTAAAATTTGCAATTCCAAATTGGTCAAAGTTGTCATCCTCAATGTCACAAATACGATTGCACGTTCAAATAGGCAATGTTTGACCATGGGTATCTCTCTTTGTTAAGCATTTTGATATTTTTAAAAATAAGGATTTTATGTAAAAATCATTTCCCGTAAAAATTATTTCCCTAATTTGGGGAAAACGTGACTAGTCAATATTTGGACTTGATAAGTTCTTTTTATCACCTACATATGTTTTTTTTTTTCAGTTTAATGTGTATATATTGTATGTTATTTTGGATTCATGTACTACAAAAAATAAAAAAATAAATAAATAAATAAAAAATAAAAAAGAGTAAAAAGCACACTATGGAAAATTGCATATTGTAAAATTTGCAAAACCACTATATATAAACTAAGAACACATCAACCAAAAAATAAATACTGGAATTTGGAATTGTCCCTAATATAAATCAGTTTATCTTCCGATACCCGATTATCCACCAAAAATAAATACTAGTTTATTTCCAGTTTATCTTGAATTTTGTAAACCAATTTTTTTACTGTAAGTTTATATCTAGTTTATTTTTAGTTTATTATAAGTTTATAAATCATTACATGAATAGAGACTATAAATTTATATTTATATATGGTTTATTTTAAGTTTACTATACAAGAAAAAAAAATATTTATTTTTATATTATTTTAGTTCTAAATTAATACTTTTATACACACAAAAATAAAAATTTAGATATAAATTATTTTCAATTTATTATAGTAAAAAATAAAACTTTTACCCACACAAAAACCAAACATTAACTCACAAAAGTAGTGAACAACTAATACATGAAATACAACATAATTATAACTTAAAATGAAACAAAAATCATCAATATAATGGTTTAAATTTAATTTAACCATTTTGTCTTCCTCCTACGAAACTCTTAGTTTATTTGTAGTTTATCTTAAGTTTGTACATTATTTTTGTAATTTATTAAACTAACTTGAAACTTTTGTTTTTTCTCAAGTTTATTATCTATTTTTTTTACTAAATTACGAAAAACAATTTGACAAAAAAAAAAACAAAATAATAATAAGAACATATACAACATAAAACTAAATATAATGGTTTATCTTAAGTTTATTATCTATTTTTTTTTCTATTTTAAAACTATCATCTTGTTTGTTCTTATAAACTTTTTTAGTTTATATTTAGTTTATCTTAAGTTTATCTTTAGTTTATCTTAACTATATCTTAAGTTTATCTTAAGTTTATTATCTATTTTTTTTACTATATCTTAAGTTTATTTTTTTACTAATCATGAAAAACAAATTGACAAAAAAAAACCAAAATAAAACTAAACATAAACTACAAATAAGATAAAAAAAAACAATTAATAATCATAATCTAAAATAAAGTGAATACTCCTATAAAGTACAAATGAAACAAAAAAACCCAATTAATTACCATAATTAAATATTTATAAATAGATAAACATCAAATTAACACTCAAAATCATTCAAAACACAAATATCACATACTAAAAGACAAATTATTCAACAGATTATTCAGAAATTAACAAGAACACAAATGTCTTCCACATTATTCCCCAAACCCATCTACAACATGCTATCAGCATTTGTCACAACCTCTTAAGGAAATTAATTGTGCTCGACGACAACGATTCCTAGGCAGCCGACTGCTCCACCACCACTTTGCCAATGGTCGATTGATCGTCGAACACCATAGCTCGACCCAGAGGAACACCATGACACAACCCACATAAGTAATGGTTATCTGCACGGTTTGCTTCTCGGGTTCCATCATCAATTTTTCAGATCTTAAATCCAATAACTCATAAATATAAGATCAATGAATTCTCCACACAAAAAATAAAATTAAAATTATTAAACCCTAAATCGGTAAAACCACACCTTGAGGGGACAAGCGGTGGACGGGTATAGGCGGCGGGAGGAGGGAGCCGGAGAGGGAGAGGATCTCAAAGCAAGGGTGACACGGCGATTCCGATGGGCTCCGAGATGCAGACCCTCACGGCCAGAGCGCGAAAGAGGCCGCCCATGGTTGGAGTCAGAGGAGCGGAGGAGGGGTGCCGAAGGGAAAGATGCGGAAGATTCAAGCGAGAGAAACTAGATCTTTGTTGTTTGTGTGTGTGGTATTTTATAGAGATACTTTTGGCTTTAGGGTTCTCAATTATGATGTAATTAACATAGAAGTGGAATGAAATTTTAAGCTCGTTTTTAGGGAAATAAAAAAATATGCTGTAGTTGAGGAGTAATTAACTCAAATATTTTGTAAACATTCACCCCCTTAAGACCCAAAGCTTATCAACTCAGGCCCAACTACAACAGACAGCCCAACTACAACAGACAGCCCAATTAGTTTATGGTCAACACTACACCACAGCAAGAGCAAGGGCAACCGATGACTCTAGAAAGTAGACGAAAATCAACGGCGGTGGCAGCTACAGTCTAATCGTGCGGCTCTCGTCGGCCGAAAAAAACTGAACCCGACAAATATCCACACCCAAAAACCATCCCAATTCTCAATCTAGGGTTTCAG